TTTTTTTAATCATCTTCTTTGTTTACAAAGTGGTGACATCCAGTCTTGAATCAAAGAGAAGAGTTTCCAGGTAGAAAAATCTGTTTTTTTTTTTTTTTTTTTTTTTTTTGTTAGCCCCCAGCTACCTCTCCTCCAAATTTTGTAAAATCAACTTACCTTGATTTAAGCAACAAAAGAGAGGACTTGGGGGTTGGAAGGGTAGGAGAGGCGGGGGAGGCTTTTAAAAGATTATCCTTTTGGAGCTTTGATAGATTAAGGGGGTGATCAAACTAGGCAGTGTCTTAATAATAGAGCCATGTGAATTTTGGCTGGGCTAATGGAAGCTCTTTTGTCAATTTCCTGTAACCTGCACTTGACAGGACTCAGGAAGCAGCAGGACAGGCCATCTTTGATACCTAGAAGGGGCTTAATGAGATTTAAGGGTTCAGCACCATGACTGGAGTTTCCCACCGTAGGTGTAAGTTTCACTAAGTCTGTCTGTGTTCTGTTCAGCCCTTCACCCTTCCTGGTTGGCTCTGTTGCCTATGCAGGAATCCTGTATATGATTCCCCGCCCTCCAGAAGTAAGAGTTGAGAGCTGGGCAGCTGAGTATTTGAACTGAAATTCTTTTCTTTTCTTTTTTTTTTTTTTTCTAGAAAGCTATTTTGTTGTTGTTCAGGAGTGTGTCCCTGATGTATTATCTACCATGAAAACATGACGTGCATTTACTATGGCAGTCAGCTGCAATTTTTAAAAACACTCATTAGATTAGTAAAGAGTGTCTTCACTCCCCAGGGAGACAGGACTGAAGAGTGAACACACCAGACTGTTAGTTCTTGAGGGTGGGCAACAGGGTGGTGGGTAAGGCCATGCCAGGACATGTGAGCCCAGATGGGGCCCACACCACTCAGATGGAATATTTGATCTGGAAATACTCAACATGAAAGAGTCTGCCTCAGGAGAAAGTTGTCAGGGGAATGGGCTATGAGTCACGATGAACCTATGGGTACCTGTTTAGGGGGGTGAGAATGGGGCCACCCAAGCTGAATGTGAAGGCTACAGACAACCTTGCTAACCTTCTAGGACAGTGGCTCTTCAGGGGACCTTGTGGGGACAAAACTTTTTTGGGGGGGCTTATCCTGATGAAGCTACATGGGGACAGAACAGACATCCAAGGGTGAAAGACACCCCTGCATTCCTGCTTTGTGTGACTCTTGTCTGACCTTGCAGGTGTTTGGTCTTATCACATGGACATGGGAAGTTATGATGACCAAAGGCTGGAATTCTTCCTCTGCCACCTGCTGAACATCACTACATCCTTTGGGGGGGGGGCACAGACCAAGAACTTGCATGATCTACCAGAACTCCTTTGCAATTGTGAACTCTTTGAGGCTAGGGATGAGGCTGCACACTGCTGCTGGCCCATTCTAAGTAAAACTGGAGCTGCTGCTGGTTTCTCCAGAGGCTCAGTCAGCTGCATCTCAGTAGAAATGGACCCTGAACTTTGTGTGGCCATGGCACCCTGCTGGTCTGCCTTGAATGAGACCAGACATGCTTCTAATCATGAAGCCCAGCATCTGGCTGTTCAATCTCCTTCTAGAATCAAGTCCTGCTCTTCTTAGGGTCCATGCTGGAGAGTCTACAGGTTGACACTCTCAGGGGCAAAGCTCCCAGGGACACTTAAAGATGGTTCTCAAGATGTGCACTATCCACAGTTTAGTGTGGTCGTGTCTGTCAATGCGTTTAAGACCCAGTGAGAAAGAGTGAGATGGGTAGGTCTTGTTTTCAGTCTCGCCTTAGCTGCCTTACACAAACAGATTCTCCTTTCCCCTGCATCTCATACTCATGATTTATAAATGCTAGACTCCCCTTTGCCATCTTGGCCTAGCATCCACTCACCTTTCTCTGTAGATTTTCCTTCTCTGGTGCTTAGGGCATCACTGGGAGGAATCAAATGTAAATCATTCTGTTCCACAGATAGGTTAAGAAATTTATGTGAGTCCTAAAAGTGTGAGCTGTTAAAAACATTCACAAATTCAGAAGTTGTCAAAGTGCTTACCCATGGCTCCTAAAAACTGGAAGGACCAGGTCCTGGTGGGTCACAGGATGAGTCTGCTGGTCAGAGGCTGACAGTGCACCTGTTGGGAGAAAGAACAGCAAATGTGGGGTCACATCAACTTTGGCCCAAAGGCCAGTGCAACTGCCAGGCATCCACTGTGTGGCTTTAAAAATGCAATTCTTCTGGACCCTTCAGAATAGTGCTCTTCCTTGTACAATGGAGATGATAGAGGTGCCACCTGATTTAGAAGATTACCTTTCTGTTTGGTGGACCATGGGCCACACTGTATGAAGAGTACTTCATATCTTAACTGGCGTATACAAATTTACATGTGTAAAATGGAAATAAACTCTTCACTGACCCGAGGCCATTGGGGAAAGAGTGGAACACTGAATGTTCCAGTGGCTTAGCAAAGTGTTGGGGATCTTTTGTTTTATTCAGGTATGTACCCCAAATGTGAAAACTCTGGGCTACAATACTCAAAACTCTGTGGCAACTATGAAGCTCTTGGGTTTGGTGAAGTGGCCTTTCTGGGGTAGAGAATGAAGCCTTTCTCAAATGTCAGTTCAGGTACACTGTCCTTGTCAATTTCAGGTAGAGACAGATACCTAGATTTCAGTAAAGCACCTGCATGCTGTCTTATTATTAAGCAATCCTTCATTACCACTAGTACTGCAGAGAAAATCTGGAATTGCAGAAGAGCAAATGCACATTGACAATGTAGGGTAGAGGGAACCGGTTTAAGCCGAAGCTTAAAGGATGTCTGTTCTCAAGGCAGACCTTTCTAGTGACAGTTCTTAAGCTTGCCTAGAGGTGACTGGCACTGTTTTAGCACTCCTTCTTTGGAAATCTTAAAACATACCTGATCAAGAATGGCATCAAGCCTTCTGAGAGTTCCTCCCTAGGTCAAGAGTGTCTATGATTCCTCATTGATAAATGTAGAAAATGTTTGGTAAGAAGTCACAGGAAGTCTGAAAGTTGTATGGACCTGTCTGTAGGAAGTTTGTACAGAAAGTAGCCCAAATCTGAGAGGCAGCAGAATGCCTTCTGGAGACCTGGTGTGTCACATGATGTGTTGCAGCTCAGCCTGGCTGGATCTGCATGTGTGCCTGCTGGGAGCTCTTTCTTTAGGAGTTCTTTTTGTAGCTCACATCCACTGATCTTTCGTGTTATAGGGCTGAGTGGGTGCCCCGCTTCCCTTCTAGCTCAGGCTGTGCAGACAAGGATTTCCTTCAAGCTCACAGCAAATTGTGTACTGGAGGGCACTCAGCAAGGAGAGCAGCATCTCAGGACCTCACCCAAGTCAGTGTTTAAACGGTGTGTTTAGTCCTAGGGGTCCACCAGGGAGGGCATTTTTGTATGTCATATATAAACTGATAATTTTATTAACTAGGAACAGGTCTTTTCTCTCTCATTGCAGCCTCTCCCTCGCTGTTATTGCATGCTATGCTTAACATTCCCAAGGGGAATCAGGAAGCAGTGCTGTCCTGTCCTCACTGTAGGACCTGCCTCCTCTTCCTGGGCATTGCTAATCTCTCTGTGCCCTGTGACTTTGTTCACCCTGTCCCATGTCTGCGACATAAAGACCACCACAGAAATGGTGTTTTGTTTTTAATATGATTATAGTTGTTCTATTTTTTAATGACTCAGAAGAAACTGCAGTGAACTTCCTAAAAGCCGACAAACTCTGTAGGACCATAATCTACAGTTATGTCACCTTCAGGCAGGCGTTGGTGGTGCATGCCTTTAATCCCAGCACTTGGGAGGCAGAGGCAGGGGGATCTTGTGAGTTCGAGACCAGCCTGGTCTACAGAGCGAGTGCCAGGATAGGCTCCAAAGCTACACAGAGAAACCCTGTCTCGAAAAACAAAAAACAAATAAACAAACAAAAAACACACACACACACATTAAGAAAAAAGATGTCACCTTCTAGAGCTGGAACATAGTTACAAATGCCACACCAAAGCATTGTCCTAATCCTGGGATGTGGGTCCCAATTCTGGAACCATCCTGCCTTCATTTTTGTCAATGGACAAGTCAGGCTTCATTTGTGTTTTAATGACAAAGATTTGAAAGCCCTTCTGTCCTTCCTCTATGCCCTGGGTTGAGGAAAATCCAAGGCCCATCATCTGCAATTGGTGCTTCTGAAAAAGGAGACAGTTTCATAAAGTCCCCAGCACTGAAAATGGGTGTGTAATGAACCCTGCTTTGCATCTTTAATGATAGCATTTTTTAGCATGAATACTATACTCATATGTTCTCTCTGGTGCCAAAGTGATGTGCAGTTCCAAGTCCATTTACTAATGTCCTGGCAAATCAACCAGCCCTGTCCTGTATGGCCCCTCTGTGTGGCCACAGGCTCAGGTCTCCAGAGGAGCCTCTCTCCCCGAGGGCTTGCAAAGGCCTCCTTAGTGAATACCGGGTTCAAGTGTGCATGGCTTCTCATGTGAAGTCTGTCCATCGTCGTCGTCTGTTGCCTCTTCTATTGGCTGGGCCGCTCTCCTTTTGTGCAGTGTCGGGTTCCCTGAAACAATGGACCGCTTTTGAAGTTTAGTAAGTGAGGGATGAAAAAACAGAGGGTCAGCCCTGGGGCAGGGACGGGGACTCATCCCACCCCCAGAATGTGTTCAATAGGCTTCCTGGCCTAAAAATATCCTGTTCATTCAGATTTCAGAGTCTGAAGTTGCCCCACTTGGAATAGGTTTTGGGTTAAGCATTGCCCCTAGGAGGTATTAGGGTGGGGAGCAGGGGTGGGCGGTGAGGTGGGGGGAGAAGGGGGAGTAGGCTGCTGGGAGGGGTTCTCATTTAAAAAGCAAATCCTTGCCAGATGCAGAACATAGCTCATTCAGTTTCTAGTACGTGTGTGTATTAAATTGCTTTCTCCAAGATGGGTGGGGAGGTTGGAAGAGTGTGGGACTCTGGGTATCAGTGTGCAGTGAGACTGCAACTTTCTTGCCTCCAGGGTGGGGAAGGCAGTTTGTCCCCTTCTATGGCAGGCTGGAGCCTTCTTTGGTGAGCAGAGACAAAGGCGACAAGTTCAGGAGGATGGAGGAGGTGGTAAAATCAGACCCTGGATGTTCAGATGTTCAGAGTTCACATGTCACCTAAGGTAAGTGATTGGCTGCCACCACCGTGGGTTCTAGGCTTCCTCTAGGATAGCTTTTGAGTTTCTAGTGAAACACCTGAAGTTCCTCGACACACTAATTATTGCTCTTAGCACATCATTAAGCATAATACAAATAACATACTACTAATTTTTGTTTATCGTGTTCCTCTCACTGGAATGGTAGTCTCCCAGAAAGAGAGTGTTTGGCTCATTGGTATACAGTTAGGTGCCCACAGAAGTGCTTGACATAGTCTGTGTTCAATAAATATTTACTGCATAATTAGCAAGTTTATTCTTTTCCTTCGTGTATGACCGTACACTCCAGTCAGCTTATATGCTACTAACTTTGGTCCTAGGAAATTTCAGACTTTTCTGTTTGAGCTCTTATTTTTTTCCTCTAGGGTACTCTCAGAATTTGGACCTTTGCAAGTCCCTGATTTCCACTCCTTTCCTGGAGTGAGAGGTGGTAGACAGGGTTAAGGCCTCTCTCTGCACTGTGACAGTGGCCTCTTATTGCAAAGGGCAAGGCCTAGGATTGAGTGTAAACAAACACAGCTCTGAGTTTAAAATAGACCATTGAGCAGCTTGCAAAATAGGCCCCTTGTTTTTAAAAGCACAGTGGACGCTCTCGAGAAATAATAAGAAATAATAAGTCTGGAAGTGGGATAGAAATCTCTGGCTTCCTGGCTGCACTCGTCCTTCAAACTTATTTGTGTTTGGCACGCCTGTGACAGAACTGGCTGCCAGCTTCGGCCAGCATCCACGGGCAGTGGAAAGTTGATCTGGGCTGCTGGAGGAGACTGACATCGCTGTGAAAGAGCTACAACACGCTTGTGCTAATTTCTGGGCCACAGATGCCCTTTGCTGAGGGTGCCTCTGTTTGTCCCAGGCTGAGCACAAGCTGCAAGCACTGACAAAGGCTCTGGTGACCCAGGGAGACATTGTAAACATACCCATGTCTATGATTTCCCATCTGCACAGTTTTGATATCTACCATCTAGGGTGGCTGCAGGGCAGAGCATGTGACAAACACACTAGCCTACTTCTGCAAGTTGCAGTGGACCAGGATTTTGCCAGCAATTTGAAGAAATAAACATAATTTTCCTTTTTACTGTCTGAATTATTATTATTTTTAAAAAGCAAACACACAGCCAGAAACATTATGTGGAAACAGCTAAGAAACATATCCCCACTTCTCTTGCAAAGTTATCCCTATGGAGGTATACCATTCTAGAATGCCCCCATACTTCTGTCTGTCTGTCTGTCCTTCCATCATCTACCTGGAAAACAGGTTTTAGATATACATTGCTGTGGATGTGTCTTTGGAAATATTTTTGGATGAGATAGTATTCCTGTGTGGACTTTGAGTACAAGAGACATTCTCCATAGGGTACGTATGGGGCTCATCTGGACAGCCAAAGTCCTTTACAGAACTAGATAACAACTTCTTGGAAGAATAAAAACCCTAGTAGTGCTTTATAGTTTTACATCAGTTTGACACAAGTTAGAGTCATCAGAGAGGAGGAAGCCTCAAATGAGAAAATGCCTGTATAAGATCAGGCTGCAGCCATCCCTGCAGGGCATTTTCTTAATTAGTGTTTGATGGGGGCAGGCCTAGCCCATTATGGGTGGTGCCATCCCTGGGTTGGTGTTCTGGGTTCTATAAGAAAGCAGGCTGAACAAGCCACGAGGAGCAAGCCAGTAAGCAGCATCCCTTCATGGCCTCTGCATCAGCTCCTGCCTCTAGGTTCCTGCCCTGTGTAAGCTCCTATCCTGATTCCAGTGATGAATAGTGACATGGAAGAATAAGCCAAAGAAACCCACTCCTCCTCAATTTGTTTTTGGTCATGGTGTTCCATCACAGGAATAGTAACTTTAACTAAGATACTAGTCCAGCCAGTAGACTCTGGATTCTTGGCATAACTCAGAGGAAGGAGTGATGAGTGTAAAAACAAAAATTGACAGTGTGTATATATACTGATACTAGTGCTATATTATCTATATGTTCATAGCCCTCCAGTTTCTATTTCACTTAAGAACGAAAGGTATTATGTCCTAGCTTAGATTTGAAAGTATCACTTTTATAATGTTAAAGTGTTCAAAGTAGGACACAAAAGTTTCATTTACTACATCTACTATAACTTCTATAAATCTCCCATTCTTCCAAACATTCAATATTACCGTTCTGCATGGTTCATGTAAAACATTTTCTGCTGATAGTTTTTATTTTTCTGTTATAAACCATACTCTAGTCAACACCCCTGAAACCTGGGTAATTAGTCTCCATTGCCTGGAAGGCAGAACCTCGTCTTCTTCTAGGATCTTGTTCACTTCTGTGCCTCAGGAGCCAGCTCTGTGATGGGCTCAGCGGGGAACCCAGAGAGACACAGCACACCCTCTCCCCGCTGGAGGCTGTGATCTTGGGAAGAAAGCCAGCCCCAAGAACAAGGGGTTTCTCTCTGTAGCCACAGGATGTCGTGGGGTGAGAAATAGGCCTGACAAGTAATTTGGGGAGGCACCATGGCATAAGGCTGTATGGATGAGAAGGAATGTTCCCTGATGGTCCCACTCCTTCCCTGAGGATTCTTTGGGATCCCGGAATGTGTAGCAGAAGTATACATGGTTATTCTTAGGTGCCCCTCCACCACTATTCTCAAGCCTTTTGTTTCCGTGTTTCCTTTCAGTATATATTATTGTTATTATATTATTATTTATTATTATTGTTAAAGATAAAGATCTGGCAGAACTCCCAGAGCCAACTTCTGAGAAGTCTGATTGCACTCGTCCCACTCCTGCCTTGTGCTCACTGTACATGCCTGCTTTCACAATAATGTAAACTCTTGTTTCACGCCTTTAAAATTTTGCAGACCTTTTCAGCCAGATGTAAACAGGCAAGGCCTGAGATTTGGCGTTCCTCTGCAAACCTGTCAGCTTTATGGAGTAGTTAGTGTGGTCTATGCGCTTGACCAGAGTCAGCCTTCCTTACCCTCATGCAGCTCTCTTGTCTGTTGGTGACCTCCTCCATAGAAACCCCAGCCAAGGGCCTGGCATGAATTTCTCAAGGCTCCTGGAACACCCTGGATCAAGACCTGAGCTCATACAAAACCAAAGCTCTAGCCTCCAAGGAGCCTTTGTATTGTGGGGAAATACCTGAGCTGAGAGGTGAGCATTGTAAGCTGAGTGTAACCCCAGCCTTTGGGAGGGGAGACAGGAACCCTGGAATCCTCCTGAGAGTCTCCAGAAATGAGGCCACAGAAGGGTTGCATTGCTATTGAGCTCTCTGGCTAAGGTGGGAAACTAGATGTGTTAGGGAGATGTTATTGTCGGGTTTGGACATTCTAGATTAAGAATGAGAGTCAACAATCAAATGATCTAGAAAATCCTGTACTCTATCCTCTCAGGATCAAAGGAGTAACACTTGTTGTTCAGTTGGAGAGAGCTTACATAGATTGCCCCAAGCTCCAGTTTTGATTCCCAGCATCCTTTAAAACAGGTGTGGTGATGCATGCTCGTAACTCCAGAACTTAATAGGAAGAGATGTGAGGACCAGAAGTTCAAGATCACCCTCAGCTAAATACTGACTCTGAGGCCAGACTGGGCTACATGAGACTAAGTTTTGAAAAAAGCAAAAAAAAAAAAAAAAATTAAAATAAATAAAGTCTGTCTTCTTTGGGGAAATTTTGTCTCCAGTAGTGCAGAAGAACATGAAATACTCCAGCCCGTGATGCTAAAAGGTGGCAGGACCATGGACTACTTGCTCCAAGGAAGCTGTTGATGTCCTGAAGGATGAGATTGTCATATCGCCTAGCTGAAGGAGCTGGCCTGGCTCTCCATTCCTCTTTTTCTCTTCTTATGTGAAGCTTTGTGTTCCACATACTTGAGCTTTAGGATTTTATTGTATTTCATTTTTTAAGTCAAAGAATACTGGGTGGGCCCCTTTGTGGTGGCAAAAGAAAACAATCAGAAAAGAATTTTTTAAAGTTCATCTTTTACTCAGAACAAATCACTGTAAAATACCACACACCAAATGTTTCCCCTTTTTGTTCCTTCTTTCTTCCTCTGACCCCTTTGCATGATTATCTTAAAGCAATAAAATGGCATTCATTCAGTGTTTTTTCCTCATCTTTCAACAACTTTCAAGTGAAGAAAAATGTGAGTCGTTTAATTTTATTTATTTAATTTTTTGGCTTTAAAAAATGTGTATGTCTCCTTTCTGTTTGCTAAACAGTAATTGCGGATCTTCCTGGCCACCTTTAATACACCCAGCTAATTATCCCGAAATAAATCTCTTTCAAGCCTGCATGCCAGCAGTTCTGGGATCCGAGACCGGCTCTTTCAGCTCCTGGCCGCCTGTCACTCAAATGGGCCTCAGCTGCAACTCGGAATGATGAGTATTAATCTCCCGCTGGGAAGATTCGCCCAATCTCCCACTTCCAACGACAGCTCCCAGGACCTACCTGTTAGTCTAAGCCGGGATTTTCTTGATTTTGCAAAGTGGAAGAGGATTCCTGGGAGAAAGACACTCGGTTAACCTTCTCCTAATTGCCATTCAAGATGGAAAAGGGAGCGGACAAGGATGGCTGCCCTGGGAGGGGGGCAGGGCTGAGGAGTGGTTTGTAGTCTAGACAGGAAGTGCTGGGGCCTGTTGGAGAGCCCTCCCCCCACCCAGAGAGCCACTTCCGGAGCCAAGGGCTGTGGACAGGGCTTTATTTCCGCCAATGGTCTTCTCATCTTTCTGCGCCTTTGTGTCCCTCTAGGTGTCCTTTGGCTTCGCCTTCCTCTGCTCAAGCACTGCTCTTCCCTTCTGTGGTTTTCTCTTGCTCAGCAAGTTTCACAGTTTCATACTGATCCACAGCCTAGACATTTTCCCAGGATTTTGCGTCAGGTCCCATTTTGCCTCTGCCACTCGAAGCGGGATCTCCCCACCGGACCCCAAATACCATTATTCTTTTCCCTCTACTTGCATGTCCTTCCCTTCCTGTGAGCTGAAAAAGACAATGGCCTGCTGGAGCGTCCTGGCTAACAGCACAGGCTCTGTAGTAGTGCTGGCCAAGACACCACAAAGAGTCACATCTAGTCAGGTGAGAGAATGTAAGTAAATATTGAATCTTGTGGCCAAACAGCATGCCACGTTTCTAGATTGATTTCTCTTGCTATTCTGGGTAAACCAAGCCATTTTGTTTATCCCGTGAGTCCCCCTCCTTGTAGGAGGATTACTCTTGGCCACTGGCTGGCAGAGCTACTTAACTTGCTGAGGTCAATGCATGAACGTTAAGCATTGGCTTTGGTCAATGAATGCCATGTCTAAGTTGGAGCTGTGAGAACCTAGTGTTCTCTTTTCTTTCCGCTGTCTGCTGGCAAAGTTCCAGAGGGTGGCTGCCGCTTCTGCTTGGGCCTTGGAGTGAGAAGCCAGAGTGGGTCTGCCATGGACATATGGTGTGAACAAGAAATGAACCTTTGTTTATTTTGTAGCACTGAGGTTGAGGTATTTAGAGGTACTGTGGTGCAACCTAACCTCTCCGAACAGATACACAGATATAGTTCTCTACGTCCATGTGAGGTTTCATCCCCGGCTTTAATGCATAATGTTTCTCTTTGCTCTCATTGTATATTACTTATATGCATATGTACAAGCACATAGATTTGTAATTCATTTCTTTTCTTTGTTTTTCACTTTTCTTCTAATTTAGTTTTTGTTGTTGTTGTTATTGTTGCAAACCAGATATTAGGAATCCAAATGTTGGCTAAAGAGGAAAAGATGAGCCCTTGCTTAATGAGTTTTAGGAATATAAAATACTTCTTATGTGTGTTGTCTCAATACATCCGAGCAAGATTGCTGTGTACCCTGAGGTTTATGAGGGTAACAACTGAGGGGAAGGACAATCTCCAGGACTTTAACACACTGCGTGTGGATCCTTTTTGGAAGAGTCTGCTTTCAGGGCTGGAGAGTCTGCTCAGTGGTTAACAGTGTCCATACGTACACATCATTAAAGACACTACGAATGAATATATATTTTTTAAAGTGCTTACAAGAAAAATTAGAGCACTAATGAGGGATGCAGTCTACCATTGACACAAAGCCAACTGGTTTATTCTAAAGGGTGCTTGAAGACAATTGAATCCCTGAAGGAGGTTATGAGGATCCTTTACTATACTGTGACTTTGACAGGCTTCCACCAGTCCATCTTCCCAGAGACCCAGCTTGAGGGAATCCTTTGGGTCTTCCACCACGTTTTCTTCTGAGGACTGTGTTTCCCAATGTTTTCTTTCTGTAGTTTGTGCCTGCTGGGCCTGTCCAATACAGGAGCCCTGTAGATTTTGCCCGGCATTCAAGTCCTCTGGACATTTTCCTCCCAGATGCTGCCCTAGATTATTTTTGTCTGTCAAGCCCTTGGTCTTGACTGGGCAGAGGTTTGCCCTAAGACATACTGTTGTTTGTTTTAATTCCAATGATTATTTGTTAAGCAGTGAAATATGAAAGCACATGTCAGTCTTGGGTTTCCTTTCCCTAGGAGCCTTCCAGCTTCACACTGCAGCGTGTGGCACTGTCAACTGCCAGAGGAATCTTGCTGTTGGACATTGCCTGAGCCTGTAAATCATCTAACTGCCTGCCCTAGTGGTTATGCAAGTGACCTTTGGGTTTCTCAATTTTTGAAAAAATAAAAAAAGTATGACAATCCATTTTACCCCTGGGAATGTCCCTCTGTGAGATTGTGAAATTGTTAGTGAAAACAGAGACACGGAAGCTCAGTGCTATGCTAGAAAGCACCCTACCCAAGCTCTGCAGCAGCCTGCCTATATGGCCTCACAGGGGTCACAACCTCTCTGAGTCTCGATTTTCCTTTCTATGAAATGTGACTGCATACTTTCTTGTTTTAGCATTTTACAGTTTGGGGTATCATGTGGCTTGATATGAAATCATTTTTTTTTTTTTTTGGTTTTTTGAGACAGGGCTTCTCTGTGTAGCTTTGGAGCCTATTCTGGCACTTGCTCTGGAGACCAGGCTGGCCTCGAACTCACAGAGATCCACCTGCCTCTGCCTCCCAAGTGCTGGGATTAAAGGCACCACCAACACCTGGCATGAAATCATAATTTTTAACACAATTGATATTCTTAAGTAATATATGATCATTTAAAACATTGGGGGTCATTTTTGTACCTTTTTACTGAAAAAATTCTATACAATGTGTTTTGATAGTTTGATCATGCTTCTCATCCTTTCCGTATTCCTCCCAGGCCCTTTCCACCTCCCTATACAACTTAATTCCTTTTCTCTTTCTTAAAAAAATAGAAACAAAAATTAAGCAACAACATGCCAATAAACACCCCTTCCCAAAATGAACCAAAAAAAAAAAAAAGTCAAAAGAATCAAGCAAAAGGCCAACAAAATAAAAATGCTGAAACAAAGCAAAATGAAACCAAAGTCCACAAAAGTATCATTGGGTTTCTTCTCCTGGGCATGGAGCCTGCCCTGAATTGTGATTAATATACCCAGTGATACTCCACTGAAGAAAACCAGTGTTTCTCTTCACCATTGATCATCTGCAGATAGCTTCTTGGTTAGGGGTGGAAGCATGTATCCACTTCCCCCTCTCAATGCTAGGACTTCATCTGGCTTGGACCTGGGCGGGTCTTGTGTGTTCAGCCACAGCCCCTGTGAGTTCAAATGTACATCATTTCTGTTGTGTCTGGAAGGCACGCTTTTCTTGGAGTCATCCACCAGCTATGGCTCTTCCAACCTTCGGTTTCCTGTTCCAAATAGATCCCAGAGCCTTGAGGAGAAGGGCTTTGATGAAGACATCCCATGTGGGGTTGAGTGCTCCCAAGTCCCTTACTCTGCACATTGTCCATTTGTGGGTCTGTTTGTTAGTTCCTATCTACTATAATAAGAAGCTTCTTTTGTGAGGGTTGAATATAGCAATATGTCATTAGGGGGCATTTTATTGCTAAGCTTCTTTGGCAGAGTAATTGTAGTAGGCTTACCCCTGGGTCTGAGACCCATCTAGTCTCAGGTTCTTGGTCACTTTAGCAATGTCTGTCATGAGTTCAAGTTTGTTTCAACCATTTTTCTAAATAAACAAGTATAGTCATCTGCATTTTTATAATACAGATATGTTGAGATTTTATAATTTATTTAAAATTGTAATCAGATTAGTGGTGAAAGTGAGTTAAGAACCCAGAAATTCCAGCCTCCATTTCTCATGATAGGTGGAAGAGGGCTGTCCCTTTTGTGATATTGGTGGGGGATTATTGAGGCACATTCAACTACAATAACTCAACTTGATAAACATTAATTGAGTGCATTTTATGTGTTTAATGGTGAGTCAACTGTGTTCTCTAGCTTCAAAGAAGATGTGATCTTGTGAGTGTCCTATATAAACAGTTGTAGGAAAGACTATTCTAAAGGCGTTTCTAGGACTTCCTCTTCTAACTAGGATGGAGTAACAGGCACAAGGGTTACTGTCCCACTTCCAAATAACTAAAATAGAATGCATTCCAAGTCCTTAGGCAGAAAGGAAACAAGGGAAAACAGGGGAAGCTCAAGGCCAGTTCTATGCTCACCCCAGCTTATTCCTTAAGGGTTTCAGGTAACTGTAGAGGGAGAGAACAGTGAGGATCTCACCAGCTCTCAGTGTGTCCAGGATGCGCTGATTGTGGGGAGGCAAGGTGGTCAGAGTTCTTGTGGAGAAAGCTCTCTGGAGTCCCAGCTGCTGCTCCCACGCAAGGCTTCAGTATATCGGACCAATCAGCTTTGGCCTGTGAGCAAGCTACTCCAGGCTAGAGATTAGAGAAAAATACCTCGAAAGACTCTGGGACGAGGGATGGATACAGGGTCCTGCATGCAGAATGGAAAATCTTATCATTTAAAAGACCGAATGAGAAACATTTTGCTTGGGTACTGGGAAAAACTAGCCCAGGCTTAGATGTTGATAGCATCTCATAAAGCTTAAGGAAAAATCAGAAAAGATCAAGCTGTTTCTAAGCAACTTAATTGTACTACAGAAGGGAGCTCAAAATATTTATAGGATGGTACAAATATCAACAAAGTAAAATCCACAATGTCTAGAAACCTAATAAAATTATAAAGCGTGCAAAGAAGTGGGGAAA